GAGGATCAGGGAAGTAAACACGTGGCTAAAAGAGTGGTGTGGGAAAGAGGGTTTCCTTTTCATGGGCACTGGCATCAGTTCTGGGACAGGAGGGATCTATATCACTGGGATGGACTCCACCTGAACAGGGCCGGGTCCAGTGTTCTGGCGAAAAGGGTAAATAGGGTGGTTAATAGGACTTTAAACTAGTAAGTAGGGGGTAAGGGAGAAGTGAGCATAGAGGGAGAATAACAATTAATGTAAGGCAAAGCAGCAGGTTAGCAGGTGACAAGGAAGCTTCAACTCCATTGAAAATTAGGAAAAAAGTTAAAGGGAAGGAGAACTCGAGAGCTGTTAGTAATGGAGGTAATAGGACCCAAAAAGAAGCTGCAAAAACTGGCATAAGGGCACTTTATCCGAATGCTTGGAGAATTCGAAACAAGGTGGATGAGTTGACAGCGCAAATCATGGCAAATGGGTATGATTTAGTGGCCATTACAGAGACATGGTTACAGGATGGTCATGACTGGGAGTTAAATATCCAGGGGTATCAAACTGTTCGGAAGGACAGACAGGAAGGTAAGGGAGGTGGTGTTGCTCTGATTCTTAATGATGATATCAGGGCGGTAGTGAGAGATGATATAGGTTCTACTGAACAAAACATTGAATCCATTTGGGTGGAAATTAGGAATAGCAGGGAGAAGAAGTCACTGATAGGTGTGGTCTATAGGCCACCAAATAATGACATCGTGGTGGCGCAGGCAATAAACATAGAAATAGCTAATGCATGTAAAAATGGTACAGCAATTATCATGGGGGATTTTAATCTACATATCGATTGGTCAAACCAGGTCGGTCATGGCAGCCTTGAGGAGGGGTTCATAGAATGCATCCGCGATAATTTCCTTGAACAATATGTAATGGAACCTACGAGGGAGCAAGCTATCCTAGATCTAGTCCTGTGTAATGAGACAGGAATAATTAATGATCTCGCAGTTAGGGATCCTCTCGGAAGGAGCGATCAAGTATGATCGAATTTAAAATACAGATGGAGCGTGAGAAGGTTAAATCCAGTGCCTATGTCCTGTGCTTAAACAAAGGAGACTATGAAGGAATGAGGGACGAGTTAGCTAAGGTAGAATGGGAGCAAAAACTTTATGGTGTGTCAATTGAGGAACAGTGGAGGACTTTCAAAATGATTTTTCACAGTGCTCAGCAGAAGTATATTCCAGTGATAATGAAGATCTGTAGGAAAAGAGAGAGCCAGCCATGGATGTCTGAGGAAA